GATCTTCAAATAAACTAATGATATAAGCCACCAAAAAATATCATGTAACAACCAAAATTTTAAGATTTGTAACGCCACTTGATCGAGAAAATACTAGACGTCGGAGATATATCAAGCCCTTAGAAGAGCTCGATGAAGAACTGCTACTATAAAGGCTAATTCTCTGTAAAGGCTTTAGAAGAGCTTGATGAAGAACTGCTACTGTAAAAGCTACCTTCATAATTCTACCACAAGCTTTATCAAAACTCTTCAAATTTCAAAAGTCACAAATCCAATTTCGAATGGCCATACCAAATTCTCCCCCGATTTATAATCAAAATCGTGATTATAAAACCTTAAAATGGTTATGTGAATGATCTTGAATGGATAAATAATTACTGTGCTCCCCCGCGACAAAATGATATAAACAATGAAGTTTAAAATCCGAAAAAGTCGAAAAAAATTTGACGTTATTGCGAAAAATGACTTTCCGAACCGCCAAGACTTGATGGAATCCTTAATTTTCTGTTCACGAAAAAAATATGTGCATTAAAAAATCCAAAACTGTTCACCAGCCCTTAAATTTGCAAACTTTTCGAAAAATGGGCTGAAACTGTCACATTGCTGAAAGTCAGGGGACTAAATTAATAATTCTGCATCATACTCCCTTTCATTTGTAACAATTTCTGGAAATGCTCCAAAACAGCCAACTTACGAAAAATACAGGGACCAGAATTATCAAATCGCTGAAGTTGCAGGGACCAAAAAAGTAACTTGAGTCATCTTTCCCAATTTAACGTCAGGTGAATGAACAACTCGTGATTAAACAACGAATCCAAGAAATCAATAACCCCTGAATTTACACTTTCGTTCCGAGCACCAACTTATTGAGTCCGAATCCGAGTCCAGTCCCAACTGCGAGCACAACCAATTTTGACGTTCGTATGGGAAGTGAGTGCGAACCCAGAATCACAATCCCCGATTCCTTGACCTTTCGCTCTGAATCAATCGATAACAACCCAATACGAATCTCCAGTAAAAACGAATCCAATCACAGGTTCGCTGCGAATCAATGTCAACCACGAGTCCATAGTGCGAACGTTCACAGGTAAGACATTCGTTCCAAAAGATTCACAATTTTGACTTTTCGTTTTGACCATTGTTCATCCCAATTGAGTCCCTGTCACGATTTCATTCATTCCGATCAACACTCTACCGACTGCGAATCCAAATGATTCTGATTTTGACTTTTAATATTGACCAGAAAAAAACGAATCAAATGCTCAAATCGTTCCGATTGAGCTCCAATTTCCGATTCCATTCATTCGCATCATACTTCCAATTGCGACTCCAAATTACTATTCTGATTAAGATCGCAGGTATTCCGTTCGCACTAACAGGTTCACAATACCAATTTTGACTATTATCTGGATTGACAATACAAAACATTCTCAATTGATTGGGAACAAACACACAACCAATCCGACTGAGATTTAACCCAGATAGCGAAACTCTTCATCTGAATGTAATACATGATAAACACCAAAATCGTCTTCTACAAATTGATTGTCAGATCAAATACCCATCAAATATTCTTCTGTTTATTCTTTCAACTTCTCAACCCAAGATAATTTGATTTCAAGTCAATTAAAGAAATATGATACCAGAGAAATCGATTTGATAATATGAAAATTTTGATTTTGGATTAAAGCTAAAAGAAATCGATTCATGAGAGTAATAGCAACAATAACCTCAGACGATAATGGTCATCGATTGTTGAACAGATAGAAGTGTTATCTCCAAAGCAGGTGACACACGTAGATAAAAGAAAAGCAGATCGGGTGGATTGTGAACAGTAAAGGACCAATTCTTATGGGCCAAAACAAACAAAACAAATCAATCGATGTAATAAATTGATTTTGGATTGAACGAATATGGAATTGAATAAATGGACCAAATAACGAGAAACAGATCCATCGACATCAAACGAATGATCAGATCAGATAAAAAAAATATGAACAGAAAAACGAATTGGATTGAAATAACACCAGATGAACAGTAGAAAATACCATAAATCTTCATGAACAGTTTCTTGAACAAGAACCTTGATTCCAAACCGCCAAATACCAAAAATCTTCAATAACTTGTGCAGAAAATCATCAAATCAAGAACCGATACTTCAAAAATCAATAGATCTTAAAATACCCGCTCTGATACCACTTGTTGGGATTAAAACCCTAATTGTGATATGATGAACAAGATGCGGAAAATAAGAACAAACACAATAAAGAAGATATGTCGAATGATCACTCGATTTATTCAAAACATGAGGAATAAATTACACTTTCAGAATAGACTAAAGAATATAACTCTACATAAGAAACCTTACAATGTTTGGCGGCTACATTTTGCCTCACTCTTAACCCTAATTATGAATAATACATGACTATTTATCGGGAAAAGACAAGTCTTGGGCTTTTAGCCTACACTTCATCAATGGGGCCCATTGCCATAATCCATGGAGTACTTTGAACCCTACACGTTTGAAGGAAGAAGAAGACTTTTATGTGAAGAGAGCACCTTGGCAAGCTTGAAGACTTATTTTGAGCATCTTCTGGACCATTGTGAGTGACCAAGTTCCAATCTTTATGCTTTAGGTTGCTAGATCTACGCTTTTTGTCCCATTTTAGCCACTTTTTGGAAAGTTTGGGTGGAAGGATTCCATAAATTTGGCAACTTTATGGATCCTTGAGGTCCCTTGAAGGTTATATGATTTGGATCTAGAGTTTGGTGTAGTTTTGAATCTATGCATGGGATTTTGGTTCCATTTTTCACCATTTTGACCTATATTGAGTTCAATACATGCATGTTTATAAAGCACCGACTTTTAGAAGGTTTTTGGGGTAAGAAAACCCTCTGAGAAGTTAGGATTATTGGCTTAATAGATAAGAAAGCCCTTACGACGTGACCATATGGGTTTCACAATATATCGATGAGGGTTCATCAATTGTTTTGGAAGGATGTTGTCACAATGTGGTAGCAAGGCCATCACGACATGACAATAGATTTGAACGAGACTGAGTTAGATCATGACCAAGTTTATGATCAGGTCGAGTTCGTTTTCCCATGACGTGACCATGGGCTGGTCACGACGTGAGGGCCAGTTGGTGATGCTTACCGTTGACGTGTTGACATGGGTTGATTTTTGGTCAAATTGCTAGTTCTAGAGTACAAACTAAGGTGTGACCTTGTTTGATTCAATAGGTGAGTTGTAGCACCTGTTTCGTGGCATTGAGTTGTGGTTTGTTTGACATCGTGAGAAACGTGAGTCTTCTTACTATACTGTGTAGGATGCTAGCTATCTTTGTGAATCATGCATTGAATGATGGGATTGGGCCCATTTTGCATGCTGGGTTGGTCCCTTTTTATACTGGTGGGGCCCATTTTTTGATGGGTGGGGCCCGTTATGTGGGCGGGACTCGATGTGATAGGCAGGGCCCAGTATGTGGGTAGGGCCCGATATGTTATGTATGGTATGTGGTATTTTGGGGAACTCATTAAGCTTTGTGCTTGCGATTTTTTGGTTTAAATATTTCAGGTACTTCCAGTTCCAAAGGGAAGGGCCCGAATTGACTGCACAACACCCTCTGATGACTTTTTCAGCATTAACTATTATCATTTTACTTTGATGTTTGAGAGATACATTTTACTATGATTGGTTTTGAACAAATGATTGTATGGTTTTAATGGTTTGAAAATGAAATTTTTATTAGTATTTTTGGGTTGTTACAAAGAAGATGCCATGTCATGGTCGCATATATGCCACGACATGGTGATATGGAACTTTCCCTATGATTTGCGTAAAGGCTTGGAGCATACATAATAAAACTGTCTCCCACAATATGGATGTCTATTTTCCATGGTGTGGATTTCCGCTGGCCTGTTGCATGCAACTGATCCGAGGCACTTGCCACTAATATTTCAGAAACAATGGGTTGTTCTTTTGCCCTTGGCATTCCTTCGGACCGGTGATCTTCTTCATCAGGAATGCTTTTTACCTCATCACTATAAGGTAATATCTTGGAAAGAAAGTTGGTTGTAAGTTTCCTCTTGCGCGAACGATCCACGACAAAAGCTCCTCCCATACTGCCAACGGCACACTCAATACTCCACAACTCTCTTCTCCTCGACCACCGAGAGACAGTGCTAGTTAAGATACCATAATTATTGTCTTCCATGCATTTCGTGCCTCCAATACTGTTAGAAGCAGAAGGCCCAAGGGCAGGAGCACATGGTGGAACATCAGAAGATAGTGCAGTCTTGATTGTAATAAGCTGCGTAGGAACAGAAGCTGGGGTGGCAGGGATGGCCCGAGCTAACATTCAGTTGGGAGTAAGTAAAGCATCATACAAAGAAATAGGATGAAATTGCAGTTCCCCCTGGAATCTCTTATCCAACACATCCGAAAAGCACAATACTCACTCTTCTCCTGTGGTTCCATTGCCATTTATCTTAAGGGGAGGGGGAGGAGACAAAGATAAGAGTAAAGACAAGAAACTTACCGCCATTGATAACAAAGAATTCAGGCATCTCCTAGCAGCGACGCCACTCAGTTTCATCCTAACTCCAACAAAAATATGTTCGAGAAATTCCTCGGGAACAACACTAAAGCTGTTCAAATTCGAACAACCTCTCAGTCATGAGGAAGAAGGTTAGGGGCATTATCGGAATTCGGATCAGTACGGTAATAAGGGCCATCAACGCGAGAACCGTCCACCCAAAACCAATGGTTTTTCTAGTTTTTGGGACTGCTCTTCCAATCAGGAACAACAACATGAGCATTCTTCCGAGCACAGAAAGTAAATTTGTCACCAACAGTGGAGAACCAAAAGTAGTTCTTGAACACCCAAATACTTAGAAGAAAGCCTTGGGATCGACAGAGCATTTCGATGCTATAATCTTGGTCATAGGATTGGGGTAATCTCGTAGATGTTTACACCATTCTTGCATAACACATCGTCTTAGAAGTTATTTGTGGGAAGTCGATAACCAGCATCGAAGGTTTTAACGAAAGCACCAACCTTCCCTGAAGGAGGCTCCAAAAATGAAGGTCCATCCAAATGATTCACCGCCTCATCCTCTAGCTGAAATCCATATTTCTCCCAGAGAGCGTTAACATAGTGCAGAGTAGGGATAAAACCGGTAGAGGTAACCATGTTTACAAGGAACGGCCGTTTTGAGAAAGACTGAAAAATAGACGAAGAGGAAAAGTGACAAGTGCAAGAAAATGTAAGCAAGATAGAAAGAAATGAGGTATTTGTGGAAGAAATTGAGAGGATTGCCAAAAGCCATGAAAAAGCGGTCATGATCGCAAGAATCACAACTGCTCGGTGGTTAATTAGACGACATGTGTGACTAAGAGTCTAGTACATAATGGATAACTATGCTACACCAACATTACTAAACTAGGGGGCTTGATGCGTGCCCCATGTTGTTTTGACTTGAAGTGACTAATGAAGTGGTAGTTAGTCTTAGGGGACAACAGGTGAACACATGTTAAGAAGTGTGCGGCCTCACCGAGTAGGTTATGGTAATAATCAGAAGACACGCTGTGATAGGATCTCAACGGGCTAGGTAGTAGGGCATCATTGCCCAAACAAGAATCCATTGTTCCCCACGCATGCTAATCACTGCCCATGATTAGGAAAGACGTCAGTAGACGGGTGAACGAGCCATTATCAATATTCCCTCTACATCAATCGCAAGAGAGGAAGATCATGACGAGGACAGTTGGACTAATCCTAGATCGGCACTCAAGATGCCATTGCATCGGTCCCCCTCTTTGGCATGTAGCACCCTAACTATAAAAGAAAATGAGGATCTCATCACAAAGGGAGCATTGTCTGGACCCTTCTCTCTAAAGACTCATACACTTATCCTCCCCCGTCTGACTTGACTATCGGAGCGCCCTCCCGAGACCTTCTCCCAGGAAGCGACTGATATATTGTTGATTGTGACTACAATTTCCTCCCGGAGAGCTGCCAGAGCATTCCAATCCGGCTAGCAGAACGATGTCACAACACTGTTGATGCCTACAATTAAGGATGTTCAAATACTTCCTAGAAACCCTAAGAAGATCATAATTTGACTAGAGATCAAGCATTGAAGAGATCTAGAGGAGAAAAACATCATTATTCATTTGGTTTTCTAGTTTACATTATGTCTAATGTAGTTAACTTCGTTTTTATGTATTTTCCTGCTGTGATTATCGGCTAATACCTTAACTTTCGTTTAGTGTAGATGAACCATAATACAATGTGTTGATTTCGCTATTTATGGATTTAATTAAGTTGGCTTAACTTGTGTTTGATAGATCTGATAATCCTAACATGTTAAAGGTCTAATATTTATTGTTTTTCCTGCAAGTTTTGTATAGTTAGATGATAACTCTTATTGCATGAACTTGATATCTAATTATTTATGACCACTGAATTGCTAGATCTAGTCATTAAATAAATCCTATGACGAAAAGTGAAAATTGAAATGTAGAAACTCTACTTTTGTAAAACTGCTCAACAAAAATAAATATTATCAAATGACATAAAATATAAAATCTAAAACTACTAAAAGCAAGACGTATTTTAAAAAGTTTATTGGTTAACATACCGAAAAACACCAATCCCATATCAAATCCTTAGGTGATCATATGAATTTAACACATTTTTATGGTGCTAATTTGGGTCTTTTTTGGACTTATTAAAGAAAGTTGACAACCAAACAAGCATCCAACTTGGTCACCTAGTCCCCATAATAGCAATGGATGTGGAACCCAATAGATTTTTCATGAAAAATGATTTCAGCAAATGTAGGCAAGGTCATAGCCTCCACCATCGTCAAACCCCAATACTCGTATAAATATAATGCATGAATAAAATCCCTGGCCCCAGGTGTCGGCAACCACACCAGCCCTAGTAGTCTACTAATGCATTATGCATGGTGCCCTTGAAGTTTATGGGAGCAAAGAGTATGAATACGAAAATGGGGAATTTAGTAGGATATATATATATATATATATATATATATATATATATATATATATATATAATATATATATATATATATATTATTTTTTATCATTGTACGATAAAATTTAGATACAAAAAAATATATGAAACCAATTTTATATATATTATTTTTTATCATTGTACGATAAAATTTAGATACAAAAAATTATATGAAACCAATTTTATATATTATATATATATATATATATATATATATATATATATATATTGGTTTCATATAATTTTTCGTATGTAAATTTTATCGTACAATGATAAAAAATAATAATAATAACACCGGGTTGAATCAATTTGGGAAAAAAATTATTTAATAAAATACAAAAAACATGTTGAAATTCTTCCAAAAATGAAATAAATAGGATTTCAGTGACGAAAAGAATCTTTCGCTCATTATTTTCTAGTAGTGACACAAAAGAGAATATTGTAAAAAATATGCAAATCCAAAACTACGATTCAAAACCCAAAATTATATGAAAATCCAGGCACCGGTAAATTTGAATGTCCAAATGTACCGTTAGCGATTATCAAAAATTAAGAGACATTAAATATATTCTTAATTTTTGTTCCTATTTTTTTTCCTATGTATTTAAGATATGACAAGTATACAAATTTAACATTTCAATCAAATTTAAATTAAATTTAATTACACTTGTCACCTAAAATAGATAGGAAGATATTAGAAACAAAAAATAAAAGAATTTTTAATTTCTCAAAATTATATATTTAGTCTATATAAAAATCCAAAACTTTAATTCTTTATTTTAAAATTTTTATACGGAGTTGTTCACCACACCAATTATTTAAACACTGGATTGAGATTTATCAATCGAAACTATATACAAATTTTTATGCATGAGGTACAATTAACCATAACAGATCATGTAACCCTCGTTCAACACATTTGGCAGTACCACCACGTATAGTGCGGAAACATTTCACCGCCGGTAACAACGGTACCACCCTTAAATCACCAAGAAAAATCTATAAATCTGCCCATCTAAGGGAGGAGAGAGTCATTCCCTCCCAACCCACTCAACCCGCTACCCCATTAGATTTTTTTTCTTCATAGTTCTCAACCCACAATACACGGAAACCTATCTTTTTCAATCAATTCAACCCCTCAATTAAAAAAAAAATACAAAACAACTAAGGTACAAATATATAGCAAAGCTTAGTTGTTTTCTTTGATAGTAGATTAAGTGGGTTGTGAGGAAATGACTCCCTCCTCCCTAAGTCACATTAATCGTGCTGGCATTTTCTATAATGTATTTGGAATCGCCGTTGTATAAATCATGGCCTACGATATATACTTATGGCATTGTAGCAAAGCTATCTATATTTCAAAGATGAGAGGTGAGGTAGAGGGTGTTTGGGAAAACTTTTAAAATGACTTTATGGACTTTTGGTTTTTTCAAAAAGCTAAAAGTTTGAAAAGTTGTTTGGCAATTATAAAAGTCATTTTAGAATGACTTTTTGGCAAAAAAAAAATTATGGTTTTAAAAGTCACAATTTGTAAGTTTTGGTGAGTTTTGGCTTTTTAGCCTTTGTTCCTTCAAAAGCTAAACATATTTTAAAACCTACTTTTAGAAAAATCTATAAGTCAAAAAGTCATTTTGTTGAAAATGACTTTTTAAGCTAAAAAACAATTCTAAACACCCCGTAGTTAGTTTTGCAGAAGACCTGCCAGGTTATGGAGGGTGGTTTAACATCATCTCCAAGTTATTTAGAAAACTTTTGTAGATGTTTTCTTTCGAGAGGTTGCTAAGAGCTCTTGATGTAAAAAAAATCAATACACTAAATAGCTCTTTATATATAATATATATATATATATATATATATATATATATATATATATATATAATATATACTAGTTGTGAGACCCATATATGAAATGAGTTAATTTAAAAAAATTAAATATAAAGGTTAAAATATTTGAGAAATTAGAATTTATAAGAAAATAAGAAAAATAATGAATTATTATAATAGAAATATTTTTTATCTTTTAAATTTAAACGAATAATTCTCTCTAATAAATGAAGGTTTTTTGCCACTTGTAAAATTCTCATTCAATTTGTCAAATGTTATTTTGAATTAATTTTTTTTCCACAAGTCATTTTATGAATTTTTCTATTTTTTATTAAATTCCACATAATATTTTATAAGGTAAGTTTATTAAAGAAATTGATATCCATTTATTACTACATTTATTGCAATTAATTCAAAATAACCACAAAATGATATTTAGCAAATTGAATGAAAATTTTACAAGTGGCAAAAAAAACCTTCATTTATTAGAAAGGATATATATATATATATATATATATATATATATATATATATTATATAATATATTATATATATATATATATATATAGAAAAGTTCAACAGAGAACCATAATTATTGGTTCTTTAAGGAACCAAATCTTTTTTCCAATTTGTAGAGCTTATTCTTTATCGAAAAAAAAAATCTAAAAATATTTAAATTCATATATTAACATTGTGAATGTGAAAAATATTTTTTGGATTCACCGTGTGAATCCGGATTCACATTGTGAATTTTCAAAGATTCACATTATGAATTTGACGTAAAAAAATCGAATTTGATATCATTGGAAAAAAAATAAAAATTTATGAATTTCTGTATTTTTTTTTTTTGATAAAAAATAAGTTCTAAAAGTTGAAAAAAAAAATTGGTTTCTTGGTTCCTTGATTAATTATGGTTCTCTATTTTATGATTGATTAACCTATTTAATTAGATATATAAATAAGATATTGATTATATCATAGAGCTAATAACTTAAAAAACATTAAATCTTATCAGTTTTCTCGTTTTAATCAAGTAATTTTAAATTATATTAAAACACACTCATATTTTTAAGAAAGTTCATTAGGGCTGTTATGACCTGCAAATGTCGATTTTACCGCCAATGTCCTCTTTTATTGTATAAAAACCATATGAATTAAAAAAAAAATCTCATCTCGATTGCCATCCATATTTTTTTTTAAATAAACTGTTCTTTATTTTTATAGAAAAAACTAATATATACAAATTTATAGTATTTTGTCATATATAACAAATATTTATCTCGATATATATCACTGCAAACTGCCAAGTGTTATTTATTTATTTATTATTTTTTTTGTCAAAATGTCTTTCAGTTCCAATTTTTATGATTTAGTTTCAGTTTGGGTTGAAACTTTGATTTTGGTTTCTATAATTTAGATTCATATTATTAGCCTATTAAGTTGAAAAAGCTTTTGATTTCAGTTCATTTGTGCTGAGA